GCCAGAACAATGGCATGAAATCAAATATTCACTCTGAGCTAGAGCACACAGTGGGCTGAATGGCCTCCTGCGGTATTGTATCAGTTCTGTGATGAATACAAGTTATTGACAAGTCTGCATGTGGGCTAAATATATGCAGAAAACATCTGGTGATCAATATAGTGTCTTCAGTACAGTTTAGAGTGAATGTGTTACAGAGCAATATAGAAAATTGTTAACTCTGCGGAAGGCCCTTCAGCCCATCTTGAAAATGATTAACAGCCTAATCTCACTTCCCTGCTGGAGTTCCTCCATCCTATTGGTCACAGCAGATTATGTGGCGGCTTGAGGATTTTATTTAAATCTGATGAGGACTTCCTGGGACAGAGGTAGTTACATAAATGTCCAATTTGCTCCTCCTAAATGTTTCCAACAAATTAAAATGTCATTAAAAGCGAAGGGTAAGATTATATTCAATCAAACATGCAAAATTATTCACTTTACTGCTTAAAGCAGCTGCTGTTTGCAGGAAATCTCATCATTTCCCGGGGAATCAAATTGTGCCTGAGTGCTTTTTGCTTGGGGAACCTAAATCGCTGTGATGATGCTTCTTAACAATTTCAAACTGAGAACTAACTGGTTGTAATTAAAGCTGCTCAACTCTTCTAGAGGTTCCTGTGAAATCAGGGTGTGATCCTGTGGATGTTGCTGGAGGGAGAGGTTTATTACTGAGTAACAGGATCTGGACCATTGGGACTGGAGCAGTGTTGTTTCTCTCCAGGTTCCCTCCTCAGTCAGGGAAGCTGTTGTCACAGTTGTAGCTTCTTCTGTCTACTCATGAGACTGGCTTTAGCAGCACAGAATGCCTAGCACTGCCAGTGTGGACGTCTACTTCCCCTCGCTGCCAAATGTGGGTTAATTCCAAAATATTGGTCCATCCCTCCAAGGTGCACCATCTGTCTTGTGCTTATGATGATACATGCAATGATAGTCCTGATTGCACTGGAATAATGGACACATCACCCCAGTCTCTTCCACCTTCTTGCGTTGGGCAGAAAATATAAACATTTGAACACACATACAAACAGATTCAAGAACAGCTTCATCCCCACTGTTATCAGAGTTTTGAAAGGACCTCTCACACATTAATTCTGATCTCTCTCTCTCTCTCTGCGCCTTCCCTGCGACTATAACACTGTATTCTGTGACAACAAGGTGCAGAGCTGGATGAACAGTGGGGCCTGCTGTGTTCATCCAGCTCTGCACCTTGTTGTCTCAGATTCTCCAGCATCTGCAGTTCCTACCATCTCTGATACAATTTTAACCTCACTGTGAAGCCTCTTCTAAGGATGCCTAGCCTGAAGAAGTTACCCTCCTCCCTCCGGACAAACCTCAGGGGATCTCTCTCCCACTGATCCATCTTCTATCCGCCTTCCCCTCTCTCCCTATTTACTTCAGAACCCCCTCCCCCATTTCTGATGAAGAGTCTAGGCCCGAAACGTCAGCCTTCCTGCTCCTCTGATGCTGCTTGGCCTGCTGTGTTCATCCAGCTCTACACCCTGTTATCTCCGATTCTCCAGCATCTGCAGTTCCTACTATCTCTGATACACTGTATTCTGTGCTCTGTTCTGCTACCCTGAAGCACTTTGTATGGTATGATCTGCCTGTAGAGCACACAAAACAACACTTTTTACTGTATTGCAGTACACGTGACAAGAATAAACTGCTGCACCATGTTCCCCTTCACTCCCCCCCCCAAATGCTGAGGAATCTCAGCTTTGAAGCAGGGCAGAAAGTGGCTCTCCCCGCCACCGCCCCCAACCCCCCACCCCCCAAAAACCGAGAGACAGCCGAGCATGTATGTGTGAGAGACAGAGCATCACAGGCCTTATTGTTTTCAATTGCCTTGCTAACCCAGCACTTTATTGTAGCCAGTTTAAAGAAGTTTAGAAACACACCCTTGATGATCGTTCAAAGGAATCTCTTGCATTTGTCCATCATTCTTCCGTTAGGGGGTAAGGGTTGAGCAGATGTTCTCATCAGGAAGCTCCATCAGTGTAGATTCGTACCCACTATATCAACATCTATAGTCCCTACATCTACATCTTTTATGAGGTCACACCATTTGTGTCCAGAACACTTTTGTTTAAACATTACTTTACTAACCAGCAGGTATTCAGCTTCAGTAAAGTACTGTTTCAGCATTAGTGGGGGGTTGAGGAGGTTAAACATTTGTCTGCCTCAACTTTAACGAATTCACTCAGGTTCATAAACTCGGGCACCCAGAATGTCAGAAATGTAGTAAATGTCTGCACTCCATTATCACTTAAATAAAAAAAAACTTATATTGTGACTTTCACAATCTCATGACCTCCCAAAGTGCTTTATAACCAGTCTGTAGCACAGTCACTGTGTGTAGGAAATGCAGCAGCCTACAGACACACCATTTGGAGGTTTAATGATGGACCTGATGCTCACTTGCAATTTAGTACAAAGATCGCTTCGTATTTGATATGCTGAGAGAGTTTTAGCTTTGAAGGACGGTGGGGAAAAAAGCAATGGAACTTCTTGTCTTGTGGACCTGGTGGTTTCTTTAAAAGATAAATTGAAAGTTCACTGTGGATATTGGAATTTTTTTTTTGCCAACCGTTTCCTGTAGTAGTGGCGTAGTGGTATTGTCACTGAACTAGGAATCCAGAGCCCCAGACAAATATTCTGGAATGTGGGTTTGAATCGCACCATGTCAGATGGGGAAGTTTAAATCAATGAAGATCGGATGCTCAAAGCTAACCTAATGTAACCAACCTGGTTCGCTGAAGTCCTTTAGTCCTTACCCGGTCTGGCCTACATGTGACTCCAGACCCAAACCAATGTGGTTGACTCTTAATTGCCTGTTGAAACATCCTGAGTGAATCAAGCAGCAATTGGGGATGGCTAATAAATGCCGGTTTAGCCAGTGATGCCCACATCCCATGAATGAATTTTTAAAAAACACACAGCTGCCTAATAACAGCTTGTTTTGCTATGGACCCCTGCTGGGGCTGTTTCAAACACTGACTGTCTTAGAGAGGTTCTTGTTTTTTCTGATGCAGTTAGAGGAACAGCTGCTAGCAACAAGCTGAGAAACGTTTGCTATGGACAAGCTGCCCAGCTGATCTTTCCCATTTCTATCAGGAAAACCCTGGGCATCAGCTGAGGGAATAACTATTTGTACTTTTGAAACAGTG